ATGGTTCAAATATGTTTTTACTGAATTGCTATTGTTTATTTTCTAACCTTTGAACTTTTTGAACTTTCTGTTCAGTGCTGATATCCATTTGCTCCCACATATGCTAGGCGGATGAAATAATTCATTCTTTCAGGCTTGTGTGAAAAGTTCAGATGCAATATCGAGAATTGAGGCCCGTTTCCACTACTGCGTACGAACGCGTTGCATCACTTGAAGACACGCCTACAGCATCCGTACAAGCGTTTCCACTGCCGCGTACCTGTAGATTATTTTCATTTTCCGCCACTAGGTGTCACTGTAATATTTTCGCACAAACTATCAGTTAGCGAGTTACGATGCTGAACATCTGAATTTTTTCCGCTTAAGCGAGTATTGTTTGTTTTGGATTTGATATGGATCTTGAATGCATAAAAGTTTTGTTTACTAAATTCCACGTTATGGGAAATTTTTATTTCTGCTTATGAACTGCGAAAGTAAAGTACGTGAGTGAGTGAGTGAGTGAGTGATTATGGCGCTAAAACCAAAGATGATTATAACGCGTCAAACACAGGATGGGATGATTACAATTGATGACATTAAAATTCAGTAGATAAAAACAAGTAGACAAATGTACCAGATCCAGAGGATGAAGTCATATAAACACAAGTTAAAAGCACACATTAAAATTCAAGACACAGTCTTCAAAACAAATTACATTAGGTAATAAAAGGCAGTCTCTTTTAAATAATAAAATAAATTACAATTGACCTCTCTTCCGATTAAACGGTCAAGAGGTCAGTCACAGCTATTAAAATATTTCTGGCGAAGACTATTAAAACATGGACACTCAATTAAAATATGACGAACAGATAAACAAACATTACAATTAGAACAGACAGGCTCATTTTCAGCTTTGAGAAGATAGTTATGTGTGACTCTAGTGTGACCAATTCTGAGGCGAGTCAAAAGAACGTCCTCCTTACGATTTCCAGCAAAATCCCAATGCTCAATTCTAGGCTTGACGTTTCTCAACTTGTGGTGATGCTGAACATCCCAAATTAGCTGCCATTTTTTCCGCATCTTCCCCTTGATTACACAGCAGATGTCTCTAAAAGGAATAAGGCGAGTGGACGGTTCAACAGCATATTTCGCTGCGATGTCTGCAAGCTCATTTCCCTTTATTCCAGCATGTCCAGGAACCCAGCAGTACAGGACTTCATATCCTCGAATCGTTAAATTTCTATGAATTTTGAGAACATCCACTACCACAGGATTCTGAATGTTGAGGAAAGCTTCCAAAGATTTAACAGCACTATACGAGTCTGTATAAACTATGAACTTTTTGTGGCAGAGCTTTGAGGTGTACAAAAGACCGTAATATGTTGCAGTTAGTTCAGATGTTAGGACTAAGAAAAGCATGGTGCAGGCATCAGCCCTCAATGTAATCTTCAAATACAAAAGCCATCCCGACATGATCATTTGACTTTGATCCATCTGTGTATATCGGATGATAACTGCTATATTTGTGACTGTGCTCAGCGAAGAGTTGTCTGTAAACGATCTCGTTAGTGCTCACCTTTACGTGACGTTTGAAAATATCGAGAAGCTGGATCCGTACATTTTCCCAAGGTGGAAATTCAAAATTCTTCGATCTTATTCAGAGCCATCTGCAATTGCCTTTGTATGTATCTCATGTCTGCTCCTCGACAGCTAATCTGCAGATCATCAACATATAGAGATCCCAAGATGGTGGGAGAAAGTTCTTTTTGTACAGAGTTTATTTTTAAACTAAACAGGGTTACACTGAGCACACAGCTTTGAGGCACACCCTCTTCCTGTTCAAAAACATACGAAAAAACAGAGCCAATTCTTACTTGAAAAGTTCTATTGTTCAAGAAATTTTGAATGAAAATTGGTAGGTTGCCGCGCAAGCCACTCTCGTGAAGATCCAGGAGTATACCGTATCTCCATGCCTTATCATAAGCTTTTTCAATGTCGAAGAATATCGAGACAAGGTGGCTTCTTACAAATGCTTTTCGAATAGATGTCTCTAACAGGAGCATATTATCTGCGGTCGTTCTTCCCTTTCGAAAACTGCTTTGATAAGGCAATATAATATTATTCTTTTCCAAGTGAGTGAGTGAGTGAGTGAGTGATTATGGCGCAAAAACCAAATTGATTATACCGCGCCAAACACAAGATGGGATGATTACAATTGATGACATTAAAATTCAATAAATAAAAACAAGTAGACAAATGTATCAAATCCAGAGGATGAAGTCATATAAACACAAGTTAAAAGCACACATTAAAATTCAAGACACAGTCTTCAAAACAAATTACATTTGGTAATAAAAGCCAGTCTCTTCTAAATAATAAAATAAATTACAATTGACCTCTCTTCCGATTAAACGGTTGAGAGGTAAGTCACAAGCCATTAAAATACATTTCTGAACGAGGACTATTAAAACATGTACACTCATATGGACACTCAATTAAAATATGACGGACAGATAGACCAAACATTACAATTTAAACTAACAGGCGCATTCTCAGCTTTTCAAAGGATAGTTATGTGTCACTCTAGCGTGACCTAATTCTTGAGGACGAGTCAAAAGAACTTCCTCCTTACGATTTCTTGGTAAGATTCCCAATGCTCAATTCTAGGCTTTACACTTCTCAACATGTTTTGACAGCTGAAAATCCCAAATTTGTTGCCATTTTTTCGGATTTTCTCCCTTTGATGACACAACAGATATCGCTCTAAGCAGGGATGAGGTAACTGGACAGTTCAACTGTACAAATTTCGCTGCGATACTTGCCAGCTCATTTCCCTTTATTCCAGCATGTCCGGGAACCCAGCAGTATAGGATTTCATATCCTCGAATCGTTAAGTTTATATTCAACTTGAGTGCAACATGAGATATCACAGGATTCTGAGTGTTGGGAAAAGATTCCTAAAGACCTTCAGACGCACTATACAAGTCAGTATATACTAATGAACTGTTTTGTGGCAACTTAGCCTTCAAGCATGTACGAAAGACCATAATATAGTGCAGTTAAGTTCAGATGTTAATGACTGAGAAAGCATAGATGCAAGACTTTCTGCCCTCAATATGTGATCTTCAAATACAAATGCCATCGCAACATGAATCATTTGACTTCAGATCCATCTGCATATATCGGCATAATAACTGCTATATTTACTGCCTGTGCTCAACAAAGAGTTGTCTGTAAACGATCTCGTTAGTGCTCGCCTTCACTTGATGTTTGAAAACATCAAGAAGCTGTACTTTCTTTTAGTATGTATCTTTTAGCTGTATCTTTTAGTACAGAGTTTATTTTTAAACTAAACAGGGTTACACTGAGCACACAGCTTTGAGGCACACCCTCTTCCTGTTCAAAAACATACGAAAAAACAGAGCCAATTCTTACTTGAAAAGTTCTATTGTTCAAGAAATTTTGAATGAAAATTGGTAGGTTGCCGCGCAAGCCACTCTCGTGAAGATCCAGGAGTATACCGTATCTCCATGCCTTATCATAAGCTTTTTCAATGTCGAAGAATATCGAGACAAGGTGGCTTCTTCTTACAAATGCTTTTCGAATAGATGTCTCTAAGAGCAGCATGTTATCTACAGTTGTTCTTCCCTTTCGAAAATTGCTCTGATAAGGCGATATAATATCATTCTTTTCCAAGAAGTAGACTAGGCGGCTGTTTACCATCTTTTCAAACAGTTTGCATACGCAACTCGTAAGGGCAATTGGCCGATAGTTCGATGGATTCCTTGGATCTTTCCCTGGCTTAGCTATAGGAATTACAACAGCTCTCCTCCACGCACTGGGAAAAATACGCTCCTTCCACACTCTATTGTAAAGAGTGAGGAGGGCAGTCAGTAACTTAAAGGACAGATGTTTTAGCATTTCGTAATTCACGCCATCAAGACCCGGAGAAGATCTATGTGTCTGCAATAAAGCTCTCTTTAATTCCAGCATAGTAAATGCTCTATTGTAAGGCTCAGATTTGGACGAGTTGAATGCAATGGGATTTATTTCAGAGTGCTGCTTGATAGAGAGAAATGCAGGTGAATAGTTTCTGCTGGAAGAAACGGCAGCAAATGTCTCACTGATAGTATTCGCAATTTCTTCTATGGAGCTAATCACTCGGCCATCTTTTTCCAAAAAGGAAAGTGAGTGGTCTTTATATATTCCGCATGCTTTTCGAACTCTTTCCCAAACCCGCTTACAAGGCGTACAGAATGTAATTGATGACACATAGGAAATCCAAGAATTCCTTTGGCTCTGCCTCCTTACTTTTCGTGTGTTTGCTTTGGCTCTTTTAAATGCGATGAGGTTTCGCAGAGTAGGATATCTACGAAAAATACCCCATGCTTTTTCCTGTTTTTTCAGTGCTTCATGACAATCGCGATTCCACCATGGTTTCGAATATTTCAGTACTTTTCCTGATGTTCTAGGAATGGAAAGCATAGCTGCCTCAATAATAGTATTTGTAACAGCTTCAACAGCATCATCGATATGCGCATCTCCTACCATTTCATCTGTGAGCTATGCAATGGAAGAGAAGAGTTCCCAGTCTGCCCTGTCCAGTATAAACTGAGGGAGTCTCGACATGGGGTTTGCTCCTCTTCGTGCAAGAGACACAAAAATGGGATAATGATCGCTGTTGTAAAGATCGTTACCGACACTAAAGGTGCAAAATGGCAACAGAGATGGTGAACAGATGGCAAGGTCGAGAGCGTGGAATGTCCTTGAAGGCTCATGCAAGTAAGTATCCTGCCCATTATTCAGGAGACAAAGGCTATGATCTTCAATCATTCGCTCAATTTGTCTTCCTCGGCAATATGTATCTTTTACTACCCCAGAGCGGATTATGGCCGTTAAAATCTCCTATTATGATGAAAGGCTCAGGCAGCTGCTCTATAAGACAATTTAAATCTTCCTGATCAATGTGCTCATTAGGAGGCAAATAAGAGAAACAACTGAAACTACAATATGAAAATTACTTGTATAGCGACAACTTGGAGGGATGTCGTCAAAGGAAGGAAACTTGAGGGATAGTCGAGTGAGGTGAGAAGACCTACACCTCCACAGGCACGTTCACCTGCAAGGTTATCTTTCCTGACGAAAGAAAACCTCTGAAGTTTTGCTGGTTGATCTGGTTTCAGATTTGTTTCCTGTACTGCCAAGCACACTGGGTGATGAACATTGACTATACTTTTGATGTCGAGAAAATTTTGGTGGAATCCGCGACAGTGCCAAGAGATCAGGGTAGCCATTATAATTCATGTTTGTTTTTTCTGTGCTGCTTTTTTGTTTTTCGTGGAAGTAGATGCTCGGGAAGATCTAGCCCCTCTTCTACTTCTATACTATCTGAATCTAAAGATTCAGATACCATATCCTCAAATGAACTATTACTATTGCTTCTGTTTTTTGTTTCTATTTTTGAAGGCTCATTTTTGGATTTGCTCTGGATTGCTATTTCTGGTTTTTGTACTACATGAGTCGGAGTTTCCTTTTTCTGGCTTGCATGCCTCAGGGTTTTATTTGGAGGAATCTGTGCATTTATCAATGTTTGAGTTGCAACGGTCCGTGTTGCTTTAACGGCACTAGCATATGATCTATTTGGTTGAAGATGTGTGCTTTGAACCAGCCTTCTGGCTTCTGCGTAGGAGATGTTTCTATTGACTTTTGTCGTCTGTACTTCCTTTTCTGTTTTCCATTTTGGACAAGAACGAGAAAAACCCGGATGATCGCCTTTGCAATTTACACACAATGCAGCAGCAGTGCAATTTTCAGTATCGTGACCAACCGACGAGCATCGAGCACACGTCAGGCTGCCACGACAGGATGTTTTAGAGTGACCAAACCGCTGGCATTGGAAGCATCGCATTGGGTTGGGAATATACGGTCTTACGGGGCAGTTTAGATACCCAGCCTTTATATTCTTTGGCAGATCAGGCGATTTGAAGGTCAGGATCACGTGTTTTGTGTCGATCAACTGACCTTCCTTACGCAAAAAATGGATAAAGGCATATCCTTTGTTTCTCTAACCATTCCGAAATCTGTTTATCAATTTCACGCTGCTCTGCGGGGGAAGGGAGGGCACAATGAACTAGAAGTTGATCCGTCAGCACTATTCTTATCTTCAGAGCAGATGTTTTTACTTTATTCGGCTTATAATTCCTACCTTACTAAATCCAGTATTTTATCTCGATGTACTCCATCTTTGATATGATTTAAATCAAATTCCTCGTATTATTATAAATATCACGAATACACATCAAATGGTTTTCTTTTTGCAATATTCTAATTTTGGCTATGTATAATGTATGCTTTACGCATGCATGCATTGAAGGAAATGTTTAATAAAATAAACAAATAAGTATTAAGCTTTTTTTTTTTTTTTTTTTTTGTAAATGTTGGATACCCTTTAGATCATAATGCTCTTTATTTCATAAATTACAGTTTCATATTTTTAATTTTATAACTTCTGCATGCCATCTTACCAGATTTAAACATGATCTATAATCCAGAAAACCGATAATCCGGAATCGCCAAAGTCCCGACAAGTCCGGATTACAGACTTTTGACTGTATTTTTTTTTTTGGTTTATTAATGTTACTCATGGTTACTAATGTTAATGATCATTTCCAACACTAAATGTGCAATATGACGAAAGGGATGGTGAACAGATGGCAAGATCAAGAGCATGAAAAGTCTGAATAGGCCATTGGAAATAGGTATCCTGTCCATTATTCAGGAGACAGAGGCAGTGACCTTCCATCAATTTCTGTATCTGCTTTCCTTGAGGGTTTGTGACCCTACTTCCCCAATTGGACTTTGGCTGTTGAAGTCCCCTATAATGATAAAGGGTTCATGCGGCTGTTCTATCAGATCATCTATTCTCATTCATCGATGTGATGATTTGGAGGCAATTAAAACAAAATTCCATACAGCACTCTCATTGTAACAACTTGGAGGCAAGTTCTAAATAAAATGGAGCTAGATGGATAATCAAGTGAGGTTAGATACCTGTACGTCCACAGACATGACCACCTTGTCTTTTCTGTTGAAACTGCTGCTCTGGTTTCAAATTAGTTTACTACATTGCAAAGCACACAGGTTCACATCAAAAGCTAAATTTTCTGGCTAAATCATCAGAGAACGCATCATCCTATTTAAGCCTTAACCCTTTTACGGGCGGTGGAAAATATCTTACCACTAAGCAATTAGTTTTCTAACAGCATACGGAAAATTATTTACCAGCGCCCGATATCAGGAACTTTCCTCTGGAACCAGAGCTTCACGTTTTCTGTAATAGATGGCTGTAGAGGCCAAGTAAACCGCAACATTTCTGCATTCATCCAGTTTTCAAGAAAAATGGAGAGGGTAAGCACGCACTCTTTTCTTATTTTATTGTGTAATGATATATAAAAATACGTTAAAAGCTACATATTCATATATTTTGTATCTTAAAGGTTTGATAGCTAAATTGTATTAGGCATTTAAAAAATATACAGAAATATTTTGTTTTATACATATTTGAATAAAATATTTACCACGGCATGCTTAGTGATTTCAGAGGTGGTAAATAATTTACCACTGCCTACTCGAAACACAGTTTTACTAATATGTTCCGCTTTAGAAATAGCATTTGTTTGGCATGGTACTTTATTTCTTTGTATATCTAATACTTTTATATTAGCATTTCAGTAATTAATTATTTCTAATATTAATTATTATAAATATTATGGAAAATATTTTAGCGTTTATTTAGGATTACATACATATTTATGTATTTAGAAATTAGAATTCAAATATTACTTTAGAATGCTATAAAGGTAATATTTTGATCAGTATGTTCAAGTGATTTCAAAATGTAACTAACTAATTAAATGTAATGAATATTATTTTAGGTAAATGCATTGAAGAAAAAGAAAAAAAAATGAATCACCGAGGACGCTGTAGAGCTTTATTTTGCACTGCCTTCAGATCCTGAGTGAGTGAGTGATTATGGCGCAAAAACCAGAGATGATTATGATGCACCAAACACAAGATGTGATGATTACAATTGATGACATTAAAATTTAATAAATGAAAACAAGTAGATAAATGTATCAAATCCAGAGGATGAAGTCATATAAACACAAGTTAAAAGCACACATTAAAATTCAAGACACAGTCTTCAAAACAAATTACATTAGGTAATAAAAGCCAGTCTCTTTTAAATAATAAAATAAATTACAATTGACCTCTCTTCCGATTAAACGGTCAAGAGGTCAGTCACAGCTATTAAAATATTTCTGGCGAAGACTATTAAAACATGGACAATCAATTAAAATATGACGAACAGATAAACAAACATTACAATTAGAACAGACAGGCTCATTTTCAGCTTTTAGAAGATAGTTATGTGTGACTCTAGCGTGACCAATTCTGAGGCGAGTCAAAAGAACGTCCTCCTTACGATTTCCAGCAAAATCCCAATGCTCAATTCTAGGCTTGACGTTTCTCAACTTGTGGTGATGCTGAACAAACCAAATTTGCTGCCATTTTTTTCGGACCTTTCTCTTGATGACACAGCAGATGTCTCTAAAAGGGATAAGGCGACTGGACGGTTCAATAGCAAATTTGGCTGCGATGTCTGCAAGCTCATTTCCCTTTATTCCAGCATGTCCAAGAACCCAGCAGTACAGGACTTCATATCCTCGAATCGTTAAATTTCTATGAATTTTGAGAACATCCACTACCCAAGGATTCTGAGTGGTGGGAAAAAGCTTCCAAGGATTTAAGAGCACTATACGAGTCTGTATAAACTATGAACTTTTTGTGGCAGAGCTTTGAGATGTACAAAAGACCATAATATATTGCAGTTAGTTCAGATGTTAGGACTGAGCAAGCATGGTGCAGGCATCTGCCCTCAATGTAATCTTGAAATACAAAAGCCATCCTGACATGATCATTTGACTTTGATCCATCTGTGTATATCGGATAATAACTGCTATACCTGTGCCTGTGCTCAGCGAAGAGTTGTCTGTAAACGATCTCGTTAGTGCTCGCCTTCACGTGGTGTTTGAAAACATCAAGGAGCTGAATCCATGAATTTTCCCAAGGTGGACTTCAGATCCTGAAGATTCCAAAAAAGGACTCCCTCACGCAAGAATAACTGCAGGCTTTTTGGGAAATCCTAATTATGAAGGGGATCAATAAATTACCTTAGATTTGTACTGGTCTTCTGACTCTTTTTTTCAATAATCAAGAAATCTCATCAATTATGCCAGCAAAGAGATTAAAAAAATATCCTTTCAAATTTGCATATCAATGGCAATCAAAAGGCTGTCCGTTGAAGTGAGCCAGAATTTGACAAATCACAGTAAATGCATTCTTTGATCACCCATTCAGATAAAAATTCAAGAAAAATATTCAGACTTCAATCTATTGATGAAAAAATGGTAAAACTCAAAGGAAGGTCCACAATGAAGCATTATATGCCAGGGAAGCCTGTAAAAAGAGTTTATAAGATTTGGGCTAGATCAAACGCATCAATTGGTTACCTATACCAGTCTGAAGTTTACACTACGAAAAAGACTTGAATTTAGGTTGAGAGTAGCTCGCAGCCTAATTGGAGGCTTCTCTGGTAAAAAACGAAAACTGCAATCAAACTGGATTTCAGCAAAAAAGGAAAATGCTATTCCAAGGGTAAATCCGAACAACTAATGTTAGAACACACATGCCTGTCAGAGGAGAAAGTTACAGAAGGTGCAAATATTGCAGCACAAAAGTAAATCAGAAACGTACCAAGGTGTTATGTTCAACATGTCATGTACCATTTTGTGCTGCTTCATGTTATAAATAAAAATAAAAATTAAAATCAGTAGAAGTAGTGCATTTGGTTATATTTATATCTGTAATCAATTTTATATTAATCATCGATTTTATATTATATGTATATTTAAATAATCAAGAATAAATAGTTTTCATCAAAAATACATGTTTATTTGTGATATTTTTGTAATTATGATTTTTTCTTTTGCACAACTCAGTAAAATGCCATTGCTTATATCGGGCGGTGGTAAATATGTTACCACCCCTATTATAAACAACAACAACAGAATTCCAAAAATAGTATTTTTGGTCATAAACGAGCTACTTTTCCCTAATAGTTGCATAAAATATGAATTTTGAAAATAAATGGCCTGGGCCCGATAAAGGGTTAAATTCCAAGTTTCCTGTAAAATCAGTTTTGTAATCAACATTACAGGAGCCGGATATCCTATAACGCCACACACTTGGTGAGCTGCAACTAAAGCTAGTCTTTTAGTCACTGGGTCAGATAAGGTATCTGTATTTGTATGCCATAAAAGGTCCAAAACAGGCACATTTCCAGAAACTTAAAACGATCCGAAGCCACGAGTCATTTACAAACTTCATTTCTATTTCCGAAACCATACTAACCACACAGCTATTTACTTGAAATGATGTTCTCAAAATCTCTGCTGTACATCTTAATTTTTGAGGAATCAAACTTCATGCTTTGTTGTAGCAGCTAATAAATACGGGCTACACGCAATGCCAAAAACTACCCTTGTGTGCCGATACAGTTATTGCGTTGGTGCAAAATTATCAGGCATTTCTTTGACGTGCTATATTAGTAAATTGTTACCCTCAAACAACTTATATTTAACACATGAAGCTCACTGTGCCCCGTGACAGATATCCTAGCCCAAATCATTATTCCACGACCTAACTATGTCTTTCCACAATATGGGCTTGGTTTTATCTGGTGCATTTTCCTCCCCACATCAGCTGACGACCTGAATCACTGTCCTGAAGTGTGAACCTGGACTCGTCTGTGAAGGGAATATACGCCCATTGGTGGCTGGTCCAGGA